CTGAAAACCCGCTGGAGGGTCAGCTAATGAGTCAGTTCTGCCTTGACAGTACCCAGCAACATAAGCAATAAGTGTACCGTGAGCTCAGCAATTCAAATCCACTAGGTGCTCCCCTGGAGTTAGATGGGGACAGTCACCTGCAATATAGTTTTACTCTTTGAAAAACCTATGAAGCATCTCCACTCTACATCAGCAGAGTTGAGCACACCTCAGCACTAAATTGGAATGCCAGAACAGGAAAGTACAGACAGTATACAGCCAGCCAATGTGCTAAATCTAGGATTCGTGGAGCAGTAAAAGCAATTCCTGCCCTTTAAGTTTCAATAGACCAAAATACTAACATTATTTATAGAAAGCAGAAGTACAGGTGATTGTTTATTCTCTTCCTTTGGGTTTTTTTTTTTATTTGTGAAATTTGTTCAATCATGACATTTTTAACTTACTATTGATTCAGTGACTGGGGTAATGGGGATAGGTGTGTCAGAGACTAAGATTGGCACAGGATAGAGCAGAGTTTAGGACTGTTATACATACATAGGGTCACTGTGAGTCACAGGCGACTCGACAGAATATAACAACAATTTAAGGTAAGCTTAAATTAGTAAAAAAGTGATTATTTAAACATAATATTTCATTTAAGGGTCATCCGGTTGTGGTATTTTGTAATAAGATGATAGATTGCAGGATTTGGTTGGCATTGCCAAGGGAAAGGCAGGCAATTTCCCCAGAACAATCTAGAGATTGTATTGACTTAAAGCCCTGGAAACCCAGGAGTGTCATTTGAGAACAGAGAGCTTTTTTTCAGAAACTAATGTTTAACTACAAAAAAAGAACAAAACTGTTTTTAAAATAGTACTAAGATGTGTCAACAAGTAAGAATAGACACTCTTATCTAAATAGAAGCAAGAAGAATGATTGGAAGTTAAAAAACAGTTGGAACTAGGGGCACGTTTGATTTCACAGTTAAACACTCCAAAATGAGTTAATAAGTATATTTATGAAATAAAATCAAAGGCTATAGTTTCAACATTCTAATTAGAAGAGATCAGGGGAGCAGAAATAGGAGAACTCAAAGCAGGGAACTTTACAGTAATATGGAAATATGAATGTGAGTTACTGGGATTGTTTTAAATGCATTTCTCAGAGGAGTTTTATGTGGTGGATACAGATATTTATCTTAAAATAATTTTGGAGGGCTGTTGAGGAAATTTCTGATAAAGGTCTGTAGCAAGACCCTCCCTTCAGAACCTTATTACCTTCTATGTTTTCCGTTTAACCACAGAGAAAAACATTTCCTTTGTTGAGTACTAAAGTCAGTCTAATGGTTTCAGAGTTGCAGAGGAACTCTTTTGTTACCTGTGTAAGTCTAAGGGTTTGATGGTTGCAAAGGAAATAAGCAAAAGCTAAGACAGGGTTGGAGCTCAGACCTGCATTGACCATTCTCATGAATCTCTCAAGTGC